TTCCTCTTACCCTGGCTGAGGAAATGTACCCATTTTGCCCAATGGGGTAATTTTTCAGTATGATTAATATAGATAAATGTGCCTATCTTCTATCTATCTATCTATCTATCTATCTATCTATCTATCTATCTATCTATCTATCTATCATCTATCGATCTATCTATCTATCTATCTATCTAATCTTAGCATACTTAAAGTCTCTTAAACTTACCATTAGTTTTGAGAGGAAAAGGGCAAATATATGTGAAATTAGTTTAATACCTTACCAACCTTTGGCGGGATGAATAATGTCCCTGCCAACAGCAGTTTTCATGTAAGCAGGTCGTTTAGAAATGATGGGCTAGCGGAAGCGCAGGGTGGTGCTTCCCTGATTGTCTGGACCCACGAATAAACACTTGGTACAAGGCTGGTTGTTGGTATGAGTTGCATCCGTTCTAAAACTTCCATTATCAAGTTTCCTCCCTGATTCAGGGTTGGTTTATTTAGATGCTACTGTCTCATTTATAACTGGACATACTAACACAATATCAAAAAGAGTAGGGGAGAAATACAGAAACACTGTGGTAAAGAGTCTATTTATTAATTACTTCCTTTATAACAATGCAATACTTTTATTCACTGGAAAATCACAAATACACACTGATATTTGCAAAAGCCACGCCAGTTAAGTTTGAACAAGAGGGTGGTACATTTTAGGGTAAAAAGGGAAAGGAGGATGGGTTCTGTTGACAGATTCAGTTGATACACAGTTTACTCTGAAAGAATCTTCTCACTAGACGAACCATGGCAAGAAAAATATGTAACAATATAATAATTATCATATATATTTTAAACGCAACGAATCCAAAAGTATTTATGTGACTTTGGAATTCACTATTTACTTTGCGGAATCAGAATTTACAAGCATTTTGCTTAGGCTAACGTTACATTTTTATCTTGAGAAAAAAAGAGAAGAAACAGCTGCAAACATCTATTAATAATTGGAGTGTGGAATGGACAAAGTATGCCATCAGGAAAATTGCAAGTCATCAAAACCCAAATGAAAGACATATCGATCTATCCTCTGCACTCATGAGCTGACATGGACTGGCATTGGGCATTTACCTCGTCATGTGTCTACTCGGCTGGGAATGACAAATTGAAGGGGAATGGTGTCGTATTCATTGTCAAACAGAACATTACAAGATCAACGCTGAAGTACAATACCGTCCATGATAATATCCGTGTGCCTACAGGGGAGATCCAGTAGTACTACTATTTACACAGTACCCAGAAATGCCAAAGATGAGGAAATAGAGGCACCCTATCAACTTCTTCAGTCTGAGATTGATCGCAGAGGCAATTAAGATGCACCGATGGTGAGTGGTGAGTGGAATGTAAAAGCTGAAAACAAGAAGGATTGGTAGTTGAAAAACATAGCCACGGTGACAGACATGACTCTAGAGATCACAATGGGGTTTTGCAAGGCCAACAACTTATCCACTGCAAATACTTCGTCTCAACATTCACGGTGACTATGTATGTGGACTTTGCTGGAAGGAGGACATAGAAACCAAATCATCTGCATCTGCGGAAGCAGACTTTGGAGAAGGCCAATGGTGGAATGGGCCATCAATTGCTTATATGCAAATTTATGTTGAAGTTGAAGAAAATGAACATAAGTCCATGATTGTCAAAGTACAACCTTGAGTACACGCCACCTAAATTTAGAGACCGTCTTAAGAACATGTTTGATGCACTGAAAACTAGTGGCCAGACTAGGTGCAGGTAGCCACCAAGGGCCAGAAAGAAATGAAAGGTCAAAACGTTGTCAGAAGAGACTGAGAGTTGCTCTTGGATGTACAGTAACTGAAGTGAATGGGGAAAAAAGGATGACGTTAAAATTGAACACAAGGTTTCCAAAAAGATAAAGTGCAGTCTAATCTTGAAGAAATATGCCACGACCTGGAATTAGAAAGTCAAAGGCATTTCTCAAATTGAAAGGACTGAGGGGGAAAAAATCAAGCCTGGAGTTGCTGTTGGAGGGATCTTATGGGGAAAATATCGAGCTCTGCAGGAAGCTTAAAAAAAGATGGAAGGAATACATAGACTCATTAAAAATGACCAAACAGTATCATTACTATCACAGGCAAATGAAGTTTTGCTGAAGAGAATTCAGAAATGGTTGCAGCAGTAAATCAACAGGGGACTATCAGAAATTCAAGACGGATTCAGAAGAGGCTTTAGAACAAAGACTATCATTAATAATGTCAGATAGACCTTGGCTAAAAGTACAGAATGGGAAGGAGATGTTTATCTGCATTTTCTTGACTTTGCAAAGGCATTCAACTTTGTGGATCCTCACACACAATGGATCAGTTGCAATGAATGGGAATTTCAGAACATTTGTGTTCATGCAGGACTTGCGCAGCAGTGTTTCCCAAAGTTGATGATGCCACCTCTGGCTTGGGTGGTGGTGGTGGGGTTGGGGGTGCTGGGATGAGTCAGGGGGTGCTGCAAAAGCAGATACTTATGTTCTATCCCAGATTATAGGCTATAATACAAGTTTTTAATTTCCAGGGGGGCACTGATTCATGTTCTTTCTGAAAAGGGGGTGGTAGACCAAATACATTTGGGATCCTATGCTGAACATAGACTAAGAAGCAGTGGTTCTAATAGCACAAGGGAAAACTTCTTGGTTTCCGATCAGGACAGGTGTGTATCGGGGATTTCTACTTCCACTATCCTTGTTCAATCTGTATGCTGTGCAAATAATCTGAGACGCTGGGTGCTGAGAAGACTGCAGCAGCCTTCAGATGGCACAATCTTGCTGGTTGAAATCAAAGACTTGTAGCACTTTCTAATAAAGATCAACGACGACAGTCTGCAGTGTGGATTATTCCTCAACATAAAGAAAACAAATTCTCACAAATGGATCACTAAACAACCTTGTGATAAGCAGAGCAAATCTTGAAGTGTGTCAACGATTTCATTTTACTTGGATCCACAAGCGATGCTCACACAGGCAGCAGTGACGAAATCAAATGACATACTGCATGGGGCGAATCTGCTGCCAAAGACCTCTTTCAAGTGTTAAAGGGCAGAGATGTCATTTGAGGATTAAGGTGTACCTGATCCAAGCCATGTTATTTTTAGTCACACCGTGGGCACCAGAAAGCTGGAAAATGAATAAACTAGGCTGGAAAGAGTTGATGTCTTTCAGTTATGATTGCTGGTGGAGAACACTGAACATCCCATGGCCTGCCCGAGGAATGAAAACATCTGTCTGGGGAGAAGTCCAGCCAGGATGCTCCTTAGAAGCGAGTAGGCAAAGACTTTGTCCATGCACGTTGGCTATGTTATCAGAAGGGACCAATCCTTGCTGAAGGACATCATGCTTGGCAAAGCAGGGTCAGAGAAGAAGAGGAAGACGCCCAAGGAGGTGGACTGATCCAGTGGCTGCAGCAGTGGACTCAAACACAGTAAGGGTTGTGCAGGCCCAGGCAGTGTTTCAGTCTCTTACACATGCGCGGCTATGCGTTGTAACCAATCGATGCCACCTGCTCCGCCCCCAACAGCAACAACAATAAATATTAAAGTTGCATTTCCTGAGAATATGGGCTGAAAGTGAGTTTGTCGATGGTGACAGCATATTGGCTAAAATGTCACAAAGAACACATAATTCAGAGTAAACAACCAAGTAACTGTAATTAAGGATAAACAACCAAGTAACCGTATTCTCTACAGAAAAATTAGAAGCTACCCAAATGGGCAGGGGTCAGTCACAAATCAGGCACTCTATCATCTCTGTTTCAAAAAGAATCACCACATAGAACAGTCACAGACTTGTATTCAATGATGCAAATAGATTCAGAAATGATATTTATACACTCTGAGGGATGCTGTTTAGTAGCATGCAGGGATAGATTGCTAGGTTGTCTAAGACCATTGGTAGCTGAGTTTCTGGGGACTCACTGAAACTTTAAGGTTGAATCTTCCTCATTATACTCCAGGATAAGAATGACTTTTCACCCCAGAAGTACTGGAGTTGGGGAATCTTTGGGCAATAGAACAGGGAAGATGAAAGTAAGGAGGTTTGTCAATGACATCGGTGGATGGGTTTTCTCTTGTTTAAAATAACCGGTTCAGTATCATTTATCCATTTTGTCATGGATACAGTTGGAAAGTATTTTCACAAAACATCACTTTTAATGGCTTTTCCCCACCATCCTGTAGGCTAGGCCGAGAAGGTATTTCCTTCATTCCCATTCCAACTTATCCGAAGAGACCAGTGCCTAGAGAAGGACGTCACCATTCCACTGAAGCAAAATTGGGAGTTGAAGCCTGGTCTTTGGATTCCCAAATAAGAGCCCATTTGTAAAAGAGTGTTCAAGAACACTGGTCCAGGCCTTAGCTAAATGGCTATCAAGACGATGTTCCTCACCAGTGGCAACCCCGGCCCCTAGTGAGCTTCCTGTCTTCCTGTCTGAAGCCGGAGCCCCTGGAATCCTTGCCATGGAGGTGTTGGGAGCTGCAGCCGTTGCTCATCTCCAGATTGCTCCCCTTCCTGAAAAAGAAAAGAGTGATGGCCTTTCAAGTGTCAACGGGAAAGGGATCTTTGGTTCTTTGAAATGACAGCGTTGCAGATGACCATACTGGCTGGCCCGGTGGAGAGACAGGTTCATCTCTGGCGTCCAGCATCCGTGGGAGGAGCTGGGCAGGAAAGCCCCATGCGATGGCAAGCACCCTTTTCCCAGGAGGCTGTAAAACCCTCACCTTCCAATCAGGTCAAAGTGCTTTCTTTCCGGAGACTTGTGATGTTCTTCACTGATGAGACATAAATGGAGTGAAGGGGAGGCTGGGTACTGATAAGCACTGTGGCTTTGGCCTGCCATCTCTATGTCCTGGGTGGAGCTGGCCGACTCCAGAAGCTTCTGCTGAGGTTTTAGTCTAATGTTTTTGCACGTGATGAGCGTCAGCTCTACTTGCTCTCGCCTACACGTACTGTTTGGGGTGGGGGTGGGGGTTTGCACACAGGAGATGCTGAGCAGACCTCAGATGAACGCTGCTGCGACTCCTGGTGATTCTCATTGCGTGCTCTGCCCTTCAAGGCCCAGCGCTGGAGGACGGTGGAGAGTGAACCCGATGGAGTTGTTCTTTCACCACACGATCCAGGAGTGTGGCTGATGGTGCGTGATGGACGCGTCTGGGCTTTCAAGTGGGAAACACCTGCAGATCACTTCAGCCTGATACAGTCCACCTCTTCAGTGGCGGGCATGACGCTAGTCTTGACGTCAAGGTCAGCACTGGACTTGCTCCCGTGGTGGGTGGGGTGCCAGTGGAGCAGCAGCATCTTCTTGAAGTACTTCCTGGTGTTATTCTTGACGGTGACGAAGCACACAGTGTTGATCATGCTGTTGCTCATGGCGACGCACTCGACGACGTAGAAGGCCGTCAGGTAGTGCTTCTCCTTGACGAACACGGTGGGGAAGAAGTCGCGCACGATGGTGAAGCCGTAGAAGGGCGCCCAGCACAGCACGTAGGCCATGAGGATGCACATGAGCACCAGGACCGTCTTCCGACGGCAGCGCAGCCGCTTCCGGATCTGCTCTGTTTGGAAGCCAGGGACTGTCTTGAACCAGAGCTCCCGGGAGATCCTGGCGTAGCACAGGGTCATGGTGACCACGGGGCCCACAAACTCGATACCGAAGATGAAGAGGAAATAAGACTTATAGTACAACTGCTGGTCCACGGGCCAGATCTGGCCACAGAAGATCTTCTCCTGTTTTTTGACGATGAAGAGGACAGTTTCTGTGGCAAAGTAGGCCGATGGGATGGCGACGAGAATGGACACCATCCAGACCAATGTGATCAGGAAGGAGGCCGTTTGATAATTCATGCGTGGCTTCAAGGGGTGAACGATAGCAAGGTACCTGGTGGGAGAGGAAAGCTGAGAATAAGAATGTATATGCATTTCATTCACCTCAAGGCCACATGAGACAAGATGGCATGCTGATGCCCTTACGTCTGTTACCCAGCTTCAGCAAGCTTTAAATTAGGTTAGCCATGTGGGTTGGCATTTGGCGTAGCTGAGTGGGTTAGGGAAAACAGCACGGGCTGGGGTCGAGCAGGATAAGTAATTCCAGGCTCATCACCTGAGTGGCTCTGTGCTCTGGGCTGAATTACCCAATCTCTGTGAATTTTATTTTCTCAAATGCCATAATGGATAGAAGAAGATGTAACTTCCTGGGTAGGAGTCCTGGTGGCACAGCGGTTCTGTGTTGGGCTGCTATCCACAAGTTCAGCAGTTCGAAACCACCAGCCGCTCTGTGAGACAGGAAGCTTTCTGCTCCCCTAAAGAGTTAGTTTCAGAAACGCACAGCAGCTGGCCAACTCTGTCCTATAGGGTCACTATCAGTCATAATGGAGTGAGTTTGGTTTGGAGCTTCCAGGGTTACTGTGAATATTAAACAAAGTAATGAATATGTCAACAAAAATGCTAGTAGGTGTCTAATACTTACTGTTATTATTATTATTGGGAATCGTCTTTATACCACCTTGGATTTCAAGCTTTCTGTTCTGCCCAAGAACACAGTGCTTTCAAGCACTTCATTTCAAACACCTCATACAGAGTTGAGAGGTGAGAGAAGGGCATAGCCATCACTGGGAGGTGAGGCATTTTCTCCGGGCACTGGACAGGGGCCCTCTTCCCAACCCTCAGTGTCGCCCTGCATTAGAGGCAGGAAGGCAGAGGTGGGAATGTGGGGGAATGGAAGGCCAGCGAGAAGTAAATGGCTTCCCAACTTCCCTTTGTGCAAAGACCAGAATCCACACTCCTATTACAAAGCATTTGCATTGGGTCCACCCAGATCATCCAGTCTAATCTAGTTTATGGTTAGCTGATTAACAACTTCATTTCCATCTCCTCTCTTTCTTATGCTCTGCCATGTAACCTAACATATTCACAGGTTCTTGGGATTACAATGTGGATGTCTTTTGGGAGAGGGCAGAATGCTTCCTAGCACATTAAATCCTAAGCACTTGATAATGCAATCAGTTGAAAATTTAATAACTCTCTCAATCTGGGTCTATCTTTAAAGAAGCAAAACAAACAATCCACCCCCTCCCTCCACCCAAATTCACTGCCCTTGATTCAATTCCAACTCATGGTGACCCTGTAAAACCAAGGAGAACTGCCCCTTTGGGTTTCTAGGACTTTGAATCTTTAGGAGAGCAGATAACCTCAGTTTTCTCGCTTAGAACAACTGGTGGGTTTGAACAGATGACCTTATGGCTAGCAGCTCAGTGTGTACAGGCCTTCTTTCATCACAAGGATCACAATAACCAAGGCCAATGGTCATATCCACATTCCTGCTTATTCTGGTGCAGACACTTAAATTCTAATTCGTTTCATCCAAAAGCATCTTCCTCATTCTGTAGGATGTTTCAAAATTCAGAGTTGTCCCCAGTACATCACAAGGGAAAGAACACTGACCCTAGAGTTATTCCTAGGGACTGCATGCCAGCGGTGCCTACTTAGTGAAATCAGCTAAGTTCCTGAGATATAGTTTTATCTGGGGACAGTAATAACTGCACTGATTAGCACTCAGGCTTTTGTGTCAGTATCCTAGAAAGTAAGTTTTCATAAAGCACCCTGGGAGCTGTCCACTGGCAAGAGGGCAATCTGCAAGGTCTTTCTTGCTGTTGACCTGCTTAGATGTGTGTCCTGGACAAAGCTCCCCTTCTACGATCTCTATAACTAGAAATTGGACCACTTCCTGCTCTGCTCTGCATCATCCTAGGTCCTTACTGAAGTGGCAGTAAGACACTCTGCTGGGTGGCCCTTCTGATATTTCTGGGTAGTGGCCCAAGTAAGTAGATTTTCCCAAGGGACAAAGTGCAGTATAGAGGGAGACCTGTGTTTCTGTGTCAGGGTACACAGGCTCATCTAGTTCCGGGCTTGGGTATGAGTCAGCCCCCACACTCACTCAAAGAAGCCCATTTCCAGTATCAGCATCATCGGGACAAAGGTGAGCGTTTGGCCATCCATTCCTCTAATCATTGTGTCTTTGCTTTTCTATGAGTTTAGAACCTGAGCACGGAAGGAGAGTGCTATTTATTCTGCACCTTGGAACCACACCATCCTCCTTCATGAAGCCTTCCCATACGGCACTAATGACACAACAATCACATCCGCCTCTTGATTTATCCCTTGATGGTTCCTTATGCTTCACAAATACTAGCTTTGTCTGCAAGAAAAGTTCCTTGAGATCAAGGCTTGCAGCTTCTATTATTTTATGCTTCTGTGTATGCAGGTGTGGCACACAAGAGCATCCAAAGACTAGCTCTGGGTCTACCAGGACACAACGGATGCTGGTGGTGTCCCGCTCACATTTCCTTGCTCTTGTTGTTTCAGTGCGCACTTGTCATCTCTCACATCTCAGCACCTGCATTGCTGTGTCTGAAAATTTCCTCTGACCTCTAAGGTCCTTTTGGCAACTGTGTAGTATTTCCAGAGTGACCCTCACCAATGGATTTTGAGCGTTGGTGTATGGTTAAAGTTTTACCTCAATTTGGCTAGGCCATAATTCTCAGTGGTTTGACAGATATTGTATAAGCATCCACCATCTTGGGATCTGATGGGAGCCATCAGTTAAAAGGGGAGTTCCCTTGGGGACGTTGTCTGCATCCAGCACATATGGATGTTCTGGTAAAGCTTGCCTTCTCTTGATCCCTCATGTGACTTGTCATCTTCCGACTTCTGGTTTGGGGGATGTGAGCCAGAAACCTGCCATCTGGTCTACTCATTTGGCATTTGTCAGCCTGTGCAACCATGTGCGTCAGGAGAAACCACCAGCCTAATGTCTGACCTATGGATTTGGGACTTGCAGCCTCCCTAACTGTGTGAGTAATTTCCTTGAAATCTAGTGTTCTCTCTCTCTCTCTATCATCTATCATCTATCTATCTATCTATCTATCTATCTATCTATCTATCTATCTATCTATCTATCTATCACCTATCTATCTACCTACCTACCTACCTACCTACCTACCTACCTACCTACCTATCTATGTTTATATGCACTTTTCTGGTTTTGCTCCTCTAGAGAACCCAGCCTTACACATTTGGTGCTAGAGGAGTAAAATGATCAGGATGAGTTTTCTGAATTGGTTCTCAAGTGTGACTAGTGTTAAAGGTACAGATGACTACATGCCCAGTAGTAAAACGTTTGGTAAGATTCCATTATTTTTTAATTCCCCCTTTTGATGAATTTTTGGATGCCCCCCTTTCAATGAACTTTTGGATGCCCCCCTATATGCAAAATATCACCACCGATGGATCAAATATTTGTGAAAAACATGACTCTGAGTGGTTACATATTTGGCGCTTCCCTACAATTCTGTCAGAATGATAAGCACAAGGAAGCCTGCTGCTTGGTCCTACTTTCACCAGACAAGGGACGACTTCAAAGCTCGAGTCATGGCTCAAGAGCCACACACCAAACTGTAAAGTTGCTACTTGTGATGTGAAAGTATTTTTTCATAGTGAAAACCAAAAACCGAACCTTGAAGCCTTGAATCTTATCATAAGAGCGGTTGTACCACAACACCCCTTGAATTCCCAAAAATGAGATCCTGAAACTTGGGATCAAGCTATATAGACATATAATTAGGAAGCCAGGGACACTGAACCCCTAAATTCCGTGGATCATTCATGCCACTGAACCAGTCCTCTTACTCCCATCTGAAGACATTATTGCATCCAGTCTGCTAAGTCACCCAGTAAAACCACTGTCCCTCTCCCCATTTGGTGAGGTCACCCTTGCTGAGCCTGGGGTGTGTTTGCCTGAGCCATCACCTGAGGTGCAGCCAGGCAAGGACTTGATGAGACATTGCTGAATGTTCCCAGGACCTATCCCATCACCCATTTTTGTTTCTAGACTTATAATTTGATTGAAGTTCCAGTGAACTTCAAGCAGGGAAGTACAAAGTGTAACCCATGAGGAGATATACTGTGCTCCCGAAGTACTGCTTGAGTTTCCTAATAGACACCAGGAGAAAACTGTGGGGGAATATGTGTGGGAACGGATATTAAAGGTGTGGGGTAATGGTATGAAGAGCAGTCTAAGTTTATGGATGGGCCTACTAAGCACTGAACATCTATTCAATATTTCAGTTCAAGAGGTTATACAAAGGAAGTTGTTATTTGCTGTGGTTAGGTCAATCACGTTGGTTCTGACTCATAGTGACCCCATTACAACCGAATAAAACACTGCCTGGCCTTGCCATCGTCACACTTGTTAATGTTTGCGTCCATTGTTGGGACCAATGATCATTTATTTGATTGGTTCACTGAAGCTTGAATTAAGTGGTGGCCTAATCTAAATTAAGCCGAAAGGCCAGACCTGCATTAGTATACTCTACAAGAGGATATCCAACGGCCGAGTAAAACTGGCATATTAGAGTGAGTCTATCTGGCTGGACTCACAGTTCTACCATGGAGTGCCCAGAGGACACACTTTTTACCACAATCATGAGGAACTAAATAGTGAAGGGGAGCCCAGGACCCTTGAAGACTGTTATAATTTCTATTTTATGTCAGTCAGATTTGACAGTGGGGACTGCCCAAACCATAATGAGACACCGAACTACAAGAGGGCTAAGTGGATTCTGTGATGGTAGGGGCCAAGTGGTGGCACTTAATTGATAAAGACCAGGTGAACATGACGGACCGCTTAGTCACAGCAGTCATCAGAACAAGCTGATTAGAATGGACTGATGGCATTGGCTACTTAGTCATGGGGCCCCTAAGAATGAAATGGATGGGAAATCTACTATTTACTTGATCTGTATAAATGGAAGAATTCTAGTTCAAGTGAATTGGAGTTAACTACCCCACTCTGCCACGAGGACTCCATATTAGAATGTGGGA